CTGGGCGCACCCAAAAAAACCTTCCACAAAAACATGCTGCGCCCTCATTGCAAGTAATGTATCCAGAATTTTTTTCTTAGAAGTGAGTGAAGTAGTAAGCGCTCCCGACGGCATATCCACCAATACACAGGGCTGTTTTAAATGTCTGATGGTGCCAAAATTGGGGTCGCCACAAAAAACTAGCTCTTCTCCATCAATACGTTGACTATTTTCTGAATTAAAAATGGGCGCTGAGTCCATATTATGGAATAGGTCTTCGCTACAATCTAACTTATACAATTTTTGTGGAAGCCCTTCCTGACCAAAATAGGTTCCAACATCTGGAATAGCATCGCCTATCAAAACGACTTCTGCCCCTTTATTTCTATTAAAAAATGCTTTCAATGATTCGATGGTAGAGGCATGTATTTCAACACCAGGGGTCAAATAAAAATAAATAAATACAGGATCTATCGCTCGTAAAATTTCAGCCTGATACGGATTTAATACTTGGCCAGCGCTATAAACTCCTCCAGCTGCATTGACACCAAAAATATCCATCACTCTTAGCATATCTCTAAAGATTTTACCTGTTTTATCAGGCCGGCCTTTTTTGATATTTTCATAATACCATTTAGTCACATCCAGATCGATTTTATGGGTGCTTTCATGATATTGCTTCGGCAAATTAAATGGTATTTCCGGTATATTTTTACTATGCTTTTCTGATAGAAAAATAGTATTTGAATGTATATATTTACTGCAGCCTTCCAGAAAAATATGTTGTGCCCCAATAATAAAAAGTGCATCCAGAACTTTTTTCCTGTCGGCCAGTTCATCTTTTTCATAGCTATACTGTAAATACCTAACTACCCCTGCTCCAGGACGACCATGGGATATTAATTTCTCCCCTGCAACCAACTGTTTTTCGCTGAAAATACCGCTCAAATTATTCGATACAAATGCTGTAGCTTTGTCCAATAATTTTCTTTTATATAGATTTTTCGCTTCTACTGAAAAATCTACTTCCTTTACTGAGCAGGGCTTTACTGAAAAATCTATTTTTTTTGTTTGCACCCAGCGCACACCATGTATCATGATTCCACTCCCCAGCACGGAATAAATAGAAAAACGGCCTAGCTTAAGGCAAGCTAGGCCGTTTTTCTATACCTTAATATAGGTATCACTCCACACCGTCTTCATTGCAAAACTATTTCTTTACAAGGAATAATACATTTCAAACTCTACCGGATGCGTCGTCATACGTAAACGCGTCACTTCCGCCTCTTTCAACTCTAAATAGGCATCAATCATACTGTTACTAAATACTCCGCCTCGCGTTAAAAAGGCGCGGTCTTGATCTAAGTTTTCTAAAGCTTGCTCTAAGCTAGAACACACCGTGGGGATATTTTGGTTCTCTTCAGGAGGAAGATCGTATAAATTTTTCTCCGCAGCCTCACCCGGGTGAATTTTATTTTGCACACCATCTAAGCCGGCCATCAATAAAGCAGAAAAAGCCAGATAGGGATTAGCCATAGCATCCGGAAAGCGCGTCTCAATACGACGGCCTCGTGCATTGGTCACATACGGAATGCGAATTGCTGCAGAGCGGTTACGAGCTGAATAGGCCAGTTTTACAGGTGCTTCATAGCCCGGCACTAGACGTTTGTAAGAGTTAGTCGTTGGATTGGTAAACGCATTGAGTGCACGAGCATGCTTCATAATTCCGCCCAAATAATAGAGCGCGAATTCGGAAAGCCCTGCGTAATCGTTGCCGGCAAACAAATTTTGTCCATCTTTCCAGATAGATTGGTGTACGTGCATACCCGAGCCGTTATCACCCACCACAGGCTTAGGCATAAACGTTGCCGTTTTTCCTAGCCGATGCGCGACGTTATGCACAATATATTTAAACGTCTGCGTCCAATCTGCACGCTGAACCAGTGTAGAAAATTTGGTGCCGATTTCGTTTTGCCCTTGACCGGCCACTTCATGGTGATGCACTTCTACAGGAATGCCGATTTGCTCAAGCAGCAAACACATTTCTGAGCGCATATCTTGAAAAGTATCTACAGGCGCTACTGGGAAATACCCGCCTTTAGTATTGGGCCGGTGTCCACTATTACCCCCTGCGTACTCTTTGGAAGAAGACCAAGGCGCTTCTTGAGAGTCAATCGCCACAAAAGAGCCTGACATATCGACTTGCCAGCGCACGGAATCAAAAACAAAAAATTCTGGTTCAGGACCGAAATAAGCGGTATCTCCCAACCCTGTGCTCTTTAAATAAGCCTCTGCACGCCTTGCCAAAGAACGAGGGTCGCGCTCATATCCTTTTCCATCAAATGGTTCGATCACATCACAGGTCAACACCAGCGTTGGATCATTATAAAAAGGATCTACATAGGCAGTTTTAGGATCCGGAATAAGCAGCATATCCGATGCCTCAATACCCTTCCACCCGGCAATTGAAGAGCCATCAAAAGCTTGGCCGCTTTCAAATTTATCTGCATCAAATGCACTAGCAGGCACAGACACATGCTGCTCTTTCCCTCGCGTATCCGTAAACCGCAAATCGATAAACTGGATATTGGCATCTTTCACACACTGCAAAACCTGCGCAACGCTCTGTATACCTGCCACTTGATTGTTGATCCCTGCTTGCGCAGTATTCTGACCCATCCCTCGCTCCTTCCTCATCATCCCGTGATTGCTGCGCTACCTGATTGCTCCGGCACAAAAAAGTACCAGCGCCAATGTAAAAAACGTGATTCTAGCGAACAAACCATTTTTTTATGCAACCTTATTCATAAATGACTATTTCAATCTGCAATTTACGGTCTATAATCGCGCCCTTATGCAATTTGCTTGTAGTTAAGAACACGCAGGATATGTGGTACATTCCTATTTCTCTCGTGTGTTCTGAGCACATTCTAAAAATGCGCCCGTGGCGGAATAGGTAGACGCAAGAGACTTAAAATCTCTCGCCTACTGGGCGTGTCGGTTCGAGTCCGACCGGGCGCACCATTTTATTTTGATTGTTGTCGTAGGACTTGTACTCTGACAAAAACCCCCGGATAGTCCTGTGCGCTACCGGGGGTTTTTATTTACTAGGAGGCCTCTCATGAAGACTGCGCCTGAATTTATTGCGACCGATGCGCAAGTAGACCCTGATCTACGCCAATCCTTTCCCAATTCCAGCAAGGTGTATATAAAAGGCTCCCGCCGCGATCTACTCGTGCCGATGCGCAAAATTGAACAGTCAGAGACACCGACCCAGGGCCCACGAGAGGAAAATCCTCCCGTTTATATCTACGACACTTCGGGCCCCTATACAGATCCACAAGCCTCTATCGATATTCGAGCGGGCTTACCTCCTATACGCGCCGCATGGATTGAGGAGCGCGCAGATACCGAATTATTAAACGGCTACACCAGCAACTTTAGTCGTGCATTACAAGAAACACAGCAAAAAGCAGAAGCGCCATGGCGCTTCTCAGGCTCGCCAAAAGCCCCTCGTCGTGCGCGCAGTGGTGAAAATGTCACGCAAATGCACGCAGCCAAGAAAGGCATCATTACGCCCGAAATGGAATTTGTCGCGATCCGTGAAAACCAACAACGCTCCGAATACATTACCAGCCTCAAAGAAAGCGGCCTCATGGGCAAAAAAATGGCCCAACTATTATGCCGCCAGCATGCAGGTGAAGCATTTGGTGCGCAACTTAGCGAGCGGCAACGTGTTGAGCGCGTAGAAAGTGTACTCACGCAAATGGAAGGGATGGACATCACCGCTGAATTTGTGCGTGACGAAATCGCTAAAGGCCGTGCGATTATTCCGAATAACATTAATCACCCTGAAAGCGAGCCGATGATTATCGGACGTAATTTCTTGGTAAAGGTAAACGCCAATATTGGCAACTCTGCAGTGACCTCCTCCATCGGTGAAGAAGTCGACAAAATGATTTGGGCTACCCGCTGGGGTGCAGACACGATCATGGATCTATCCACGGGCAAACGCATTCATGAAACCCGTGAATGGATTATCCGCAATAGCCCCGTGCCCATTGGTACGGTACCGATCTATCAAGCTTTAGAGAAAGTAAACGGCCGTGTCGAAGCACTCACCTGGCCTATTTTTAGAGACACCTTGATTGAGCAAGCCGAGCAAGGAGTTGATTACTTCACCATCCATGCAGGCATACGCCTACGCCATATCCCCCTTACTGCGAACCGGATGACAGGTATTGTCTCCCGCGGAGGCTCCATCATGGCTAAGTGGTGTTTAGCACACCACAACGAAAGCTTTCTGTATGAATACTTCGAAGATATTTGCGACATCATGAAAAGCTATGATGTGAGCTTTTCATTAGGTGATGGACTGCGTCCTGGCTCGATCTACGATGCCAACGATGAAGCCCAGTTCGCTGAGCTTCAAACGCTAGGAGAATTGACAGAAATTGCCTGGCAATATGATGTACAAACGATGGTTGAAGGACCAGGCCATGTACCCATGCAACTTATCAAAGAAAATATGGATAAGCAGCTTGAGATATGCCGTGAAGCCCCTTTCTATACGCTAGGCCCTCTAACGACCGATATCGCTCCAGGCTATGACCACATTACCTCGGGCATAGGTGCAGCAATGATCGGCTGGTATGGCACCGCTATGCTCTGCTATGTAACGCCTAAAGAGCATTTAGGCCTACCCAACAAAGAAGACGTAAAAGAAGGGATGATCACCTACAAACTCGCTGCACACGCAGCGGATTTGGCAAAAGGACATCCAGGCGCTCAGATTCGAGATAATGCGCTGTCTAAAGCACGCTTCGAATTCCGCTGGGAAGATCAATTTAATTTAAGCCTAGATCCAGATCGCTCCCGCGCCTATCACGATGCCACGCTACCCAAAGAATCTGCAAAAGTAGCGCACTTCTGCTCCATGTGTGGCCCCCACTTTTGCTCGATGAAAATCACGCAAGACATCCGAGACTTCGCCGCGCAAAAATCGCTTTCTGCAGAACAAGTCTTACAAGATGGCTTACACAAAAAAGCGGTGGAATTTTCAGAAGTAGGAGGGGAAATTTACGTGAAGCAGTAAACCATTATTAGGGTGTGTCCTCCATATAAAGGGCTCCTAGAGCCCTTTATTTTTTGATTTTCTAGAATACGCTTCGCTGCACCATACTTTTTTTCTAATACACATCTCTTTATCTCTTGATATTTTCTACAGTGCACTTTGAATGCGCTCTATCTGGCCTCTATACATAGAGCGACCAAAGGGCTAAAGGGCTTTGAGCCCTATGAAGCGAATGCTATACGGAGCTGTCAGCCGTATGTGTACTGGAGAAAGAGATGCCTCATTTAACCCCTACGAACCCTAGTTCTATTGGTAAAGAATCAAGCGCAATTCCTGCTACTGCAGACCATAGTGGTATGGTTACCCAGCATATTATCGGGACTCCTTCCACACGAAAATCTCCTGTAAAACCATCGGGCAAATTACAGAATATTCCTTTTGCACCGCCGCTCCCCTCTACCAACGCCGCAAATCGACCTTCCAGTGATCATATCATTCAGATAGGGACGCTCTCCCCCTGCACAGGCAATATTGGAATACGAAGCGAAAGCCCTAAACCTCAGAGCATATGCATATCCAACTCCCCTTCTTCCATATCAGAATCAAGAAGGAGGAAGGTAAAAGCTGCAATTCAATTAATCGGCTTTGGTCTTTTTTTAACAGGAGCGGTACCGCTAGCACTAGCCGCTAAAAGCGGTGCAGACTCTTCTTTTAACCCCACTTTAGCCAGTGGGGGGGCTGGAACTATGGTCATAGGCATGATAGCGATCTGTTGCGGCATACGCCAATAATACGGCTAAGCGCAATGGCCCCTCTCAAGGCAAATCGATGGATGCACGGTTTATCTACCAGATCTCCCTATCCTTAGATAACTGGCATGATCAACCCGTGCACACTGCGGAATTTTAATATTCCGCCCTATATTACGGACTCTTAGATATGCCCATGCCTGCTAACACTAGGCCTACAGACAATGGCATAAGCCCTCCAATACCTAAGCCCATAATAATATTAGGGTGAATATATACCTGTTCATTAGGGGCATAGTGTAAATACATTGCGCCCCCTACCATAGCAAGCCCTTTGACGACAAACATTGCACCCATTGCTTTATAGCATCCACCTCTATTTTTACCTTTATTTTGATAGATGTTCTCAGTTTGAGTAGATCTAGAATGCTCATTATCAGTGGCAGTTGGTAGCTTCCATCTGTCAATTTCATAACGCTCTGATTGAAATCCGTTAGTTTGACAACGCCCTAATGGACTAGGTGTAAATGACTTTTGGACAGCCCGATGTGGCATTCGAGGCTCATTCTGATAATTAATGCGCCCAAAATGTGCTCGCGGATTATTATTCATTGTCAGATCATTCATTTGCTCCCCCCTCCTGTTTATACCCATGCGCTGAGTAAACACAGCAACACATCCTCACATGTACTTTTTAGAGTACCTTGCACCGCGTTATATAAACTCCAAGAGTAATAACGTAGCTAGATGTGCACTGTAGGAAAGATCTATATACAGAGCAGGAGAACAATAGAAAAATCGTATGAAAAGGCGAAGTTATACACACCATTACGTTACACAACGTGCAAGAGCGTTCGATATTGTTACTAACTGATGTTATGCAGGTATTCAACAAGCCTGTGGTATGCATGTTGGGGTTCGTACCTCACCACCAACCTACCATTACCAATGCATGCACGCTATAACCAGCTGCCATATTACAGCGCACTCCTTCAATCGTTTGATAACGCGTATACCAATCGGCCAGCGCCATCCATGCTCGCGCCTACCGGCCATGCCCTTACAATCCCACACACTACATTGACCGCTGCTGTTTTCCACGCGAACGGGCCAGCCTCTGCTGAATGACTCGTGCTTTCTCTATGGGGAATGCCAAAAAATCAACTAAATAGGGTATTTTTATTAAAATGGTTGATTAATTAACTTGTTTGGTTTAATTTTATGCCTAGACACTCTCAGTTACTTCGAAATGTCGAAAACAGGGCCTGGGCATGCAGTGCATTTACTCGCTACCCAAGCTACATAAAAAACCTAGCGTTCATGGCGAGAAAATTATGCTTCATTCCGTGTACCACCTCTGCCTAGCTACCGTTCTCCTATTACTACCTATTTAGGGGAGAAATATGCTTGGCAAAAATCTCGTAAATTTACCTAATCCGTATACACAAAACTACCGATTTCCTTCACATAGGCCTCAATTAATGGCCCGCAATCCGGGACATAGGGCGCCTCCTTCTGGATTAGTGGGCTCTAACCCATATCATAGCCCTCAACTAAGAGCCTGCAATCCAGCACATCATAGGGCACTTTATTCTGCAATAGTTGGCTCCAATCCATATCATAGGCCTCAACTAATTCCCCGCAATCCAGGGCATAAAGCGCCTCCTTGTGAATCTATTAGCTCTATCCCACAAAATCGTGGAACAGAAAAAGACATGGATGCCGCTATTCAACAACGCGCATCAAATCCAAAGGCCATTGCATCATCTTTTAGCACTACCAATAAAAAACCTGAATGGAAGCGGTTAAGCGCTGTGTGTGTAGAAGCCCAAGGCAACCTTGAAGTCTCATGGTCAGACCTTGAAAAAAATGTGGTCAAAGCATACCTATTTAAAGCGGACAAAGTAACTATTCAACGGCATATTGAAGCAGGGCTACATCAAGTCAAAATCATTTACAAAATCACACAAGCACTTTGTGAAAAAGACACTGCAGAAAACCAATGCCAGCTTAAAAGCGCGTTAAAAGAATTAGAACGCATTAAGTTAGCCGCCACACCACAACCCATAAAACAACGTCAAACCCCTGCCACACATGGAGCAGTAGCCTGTTTTTTAAAAGAATTACATGGATTCTTAGCCCCAGTAGCACTAATGGGTTGGGGATTAATTGCGCAATCAGGCCTGGTATCACATATT